TCCCCGCCGCAGCCGCCCGCCGCCGCAGGCTCCGGCGCTGGCCCAGAAAAGGAAATCGTCGTCCCGGCCGCTGCCGCCGCCAGCCTAGGAGAGGGAGAGAGTAGAAGTAGGGGAAGGGGGTGGGGGGGTTCGAACCCCCCCCGTCACGGGAAGGAAAGGGGGGGGGTTCGAACCCCCCCCCCCTCCACCCTGGGGGGGTGTCTGGTTCCAACCCCCCCCCCATCCAAGCGACCACAAAACGCGCTCTTTCCGGGATTCCTAGGTCCTACGCCACAGATCAACCTGACTGTTGCGTCTTGACGACCCTGAATCGCGCCAGAACGCCATTCCTGGGACTTCAACACCGCGAACCAACGTAACTGTTACACTCCCATAATCCTGAATCCCTCCACAACACAATTTCTGGTACGCTGTTCATGGGGATCCGTGGACCTCTTGCACATTAAAAAACGAGCGTGCGCGGCGCTAAGGAGAGAGCCACAGTTTGAAAATGGACCCCCCTCGCGCAGTGAAGCTCGAGCGAATTTTTTAAACGAATGTACGCGGCGCTAAAGCGAGAACCACATTTTGAAAACGGCCCGCCCTTAATCCGTGAAGCTCTTGCGATGTTTTAGCATGAGTGTGCGCGGCGCTAAGGCGAGAGCCACATTTTGAAAACGACCCGCCTACCATCTGTGAAACGGTTGCCAATGTTTGAGCTTCAGGGTCATAAGGGGTGAGAGATTCTCAGGCGAAACGCCTGGCCGGCCCTAAAAGCTGGCCTCTGGGTGCGACAGGGGAAAATTACTATTGTAAGGATGGGGAGGAGGACGATGATGATGATGATGAGGAGGAGGAGGAGGAGGAGGAGGAGGAGGAGGACGAGGAGGACGAGGTGGAGGAGGGGAGGATGACGGGGAGGAGGAGGAGGAGGAGGAGGAGGAGGAGGAGGAGGAGGAGGAGGAGGAGAGGAGGAGGAGGAGGAGGAGGAGGAGGGGAGGGGAGGAGGAGGAGGAGGAGGAGGAGGAGGAGAGGAGGAGAAGGAGGAGGAGGAGGAGGAGGAGGAGGAGCGTTTGGGAGCGTCTCGTGTGAGGGCATCTTGGCGGGGTGCGCGCACGATGCGCTCTTTGTTGTTCCTCCTCGCGTACCGCAGCGTCGTGAGGGCCAACAGCGTGTCGCCCATCATCACTTCTAGCATGAGGACGCTTATGGGCGACCTAGGCTTGCAGAGCATCTCCGACAGCCCCAAGGACCTCAAGTACCTAGCCATATTTACCAAGGCCTTCGTACAAGTCTCCAAAACTATGGCCCGCTGCCGTGCCTTGTCCAGACTGTAGGGCGTCTCGGGATAGATGCGATCAGGAGGGGACCCACATGCCAACGCGACCATAAACTGTTCGCGTCAGATCTTAATTCGTTGGTCCATGGTGGGTAGGATTGGAAAAAGACCCTGCAGTAGTGTCGACCAAAACACGCCAAAATCTAGATTGATATTCTTGCCGCCGCCAATGGACGTTTTCCCGCTTCACCCCATCTTGGTGTTCAATGGACACCTGTGCACCATGACATCGACGGAGTGGTGGAAGCTGATGGCTCCTTCGAAGATTGGCTCAGCAATGCCTGGACAGATGTCTTTGCGAAACGTGGAGCCGCCTCCCACATGTTGGCTGGTGCAATCAACGGGACCATACGTCTCGCGCTGGCTGGGCATACCAAGGTGCCGGGGTACATCGCATGGAGGGTGCACCAAGTCATCATGCCTCAGAAGTATGGTTGAGATGCGTTCCCCGAGCCGAAGGCCCAAAGCTCAGACACTCTGTCTTGTTTCAAGGTGCAGATGGTCACGGGATGTGGTGGTGCAAGCATCTCGGGATCTATCCGTGTCGAGCCTGCGGGGCTACTGCGCGCACCGATACGTCTCTTGGGTATCTCAGGGCGGGTGCTGGGCGCAGGTGTGCCCCGGGCGCTGTCGCACGCGCCCTGAAATCGGAATTCTTCGGGACGTCTACTGAGCGGTGGGAGCCCCTGAGTGATCCCCGCGTGGCCTCTGCTCTTGCTGCCGCTGAAGCCTTCTTTGAGCCCCAAGTTGTGGAGCCCCCTCCTGAGCCCCCCTCCCGCGGGTCCTGAGCCCGTCGGGGATCCTCCCCAGCAGTTGGACGTCGACGGAATTTCAAAGGGAAACGCTGGAGCCCTCATCGCGGAGCTCGGGGCTCGGGGGCATGACTCCTTTTTTGTGTGCACTCGAGGTACTGCTGCCGCCGCAATGCTGGTCATTGTGATTCTGGTTCCGTGCGTTCTGTGAGGGAGCTCCGATCTGTGTGCGGTGGGCTCTCAGAGAACCCGAACAGCGGTCGGAACCCGCTCGCGGCCATCGACAGCATCGGCCGTGTGATCAGGCCCCGTCAGAGAGGAGGCCAGTCCCAGGGCTTGCCCTGGTGCCTCTGGCCCTCTGGCGGGCACCATCGGCATCGTCTGGCGGGGCGGCCGCTTCTTGGGAACGTTGCCGCTGGTCATTGTTTCTCCCAAACAGTGGTCGCCTGGCCGCTGTCACTACATCTGTATTCTTGGCCACTGTGTGGCGTGCTGGTGGGGATCGTCTCTCAACCCACTGCAAGGAGGCTGCCAGCTCGCCAATCACCTTCTCGTGCAGGCCCAAGGCTTTCGGGTAAGGTGGTTTGCCTGGCCACGCTCCCCCCTGGGCCGAGTTTCTGACCGTTCTGGTCCATCAGGTTTTCCTTGCCTTCTCCTGAGGTGTGTTCGTTCGTCGGACGCGCTCTTGATTGCCCTGCCTCACTACGTCTCCTCCTCCTCCTCCTCCTCCTCTTCTTCCTCTTCCACATCCCTGTCTTCCTCCTCCTTCTCTTCCTCCTCCTCCTCCTGCTTCTCCTCCCTCCACCTCCCTCCCTTGAACGATGACGGCACTCCTGCTGAGGAGGCCTTGGCGGGGGAAACAGACGAGGACGTTCTGGGCGACCTGGCCCCGGCCCCGCCTCCGACGCCCCGCCCGCGCGACCCCGCTCGGTGCCCCGCTCGAGGCCGCTCCCGTCGACGCGCGGCCTGGGACCCGCTGGTTGCAGCTGGCGCTCCGCCGTGCGCACCCCTGACCTCGAGGCGCTCGTCCTTCAAAGGGGGGCGCTCCCCGCAGTGAGACGGGATGCCTTCGAGGACTCTGTCAGGGGCCCTGGGACGGGCGGGTGTCTTGCAGCATCGCTGATGCATCCTGGCTCTACTCTGGTCCTCCCTCCTCCTCCCTGTCCTCTTCCACATCCCTGTCCTCCTCCTCCTCCTCCTCATCCTCTTCTTCCTCCTCCTCCTCCTCCTTCTCCCCCTCCTCCCCTCCTCCCCCTCCTCCCTCCTCCCTCCTCTCCCTCCCAAGCGCATGCCCTTCAACGCGCCCGCCGCACCCGCACTCCTCCAGGGCACATCCGCAAAGCCACCCCCGTCCCTCGCGCGGCAGCAACTGACACTCGGGCAGGGACAGCTCGGCCAGGCCGAACTCGACCAGCCGCACCCGACCAGGCTGAACTCGTCGGGGGCGTCCAAAAGGGAGGGGCGTACGAGAGCGGGGGGGTCGCACGCCATGGTCCGAGGCACGTGCGCGGCCCCAGGGGGCGCCCAAGGGCCGCATTGGGTTAAGAAAAGGGGCCACGAAACCAGGGGAGAGCATTGACCAGGCCATGACATCTCCACCCCTTGTCATCCCCCCCCTTGGCTTAGGTCGGGTGTGCCCCCCCTACAGGCTGATTTTCAACGAAATGCTTAAAATAGTAGAAACATCCCACCCAACATGTTCAAACATACCAGAAAATCGTTCCCTGACTATTCTTTGACAAATTTTGAATATTCCTCCTGTAATTAGAGGGACAGGCCAAACTTAACCCTTGGCCGCCCCCGAACTCCGCCAGCCGATCTCGGCCAGGCCAAGTTGGGCTCGGCCAAAAGCGAACTCGGCACGGGCCGAGTTCGGCCTGGCCGAGCTCAGCCTTCTCCGAGCTCGGCCCGGTCGAGTCTTCCTCGGCTGCACGCACGAGCGACCCTGTGCAAGAGCGACCTTTGGTAGACGAGCGGGTTCGACTACTCGCAAAATAACTACTCGCAAATGGCCTGGATCCGCCGCGGGGGATCTACGATAAATGGCATCGAAGCGAACATGTATTTTTCGGACGTTTGCGAGGAGGCACTTTGCGAGTAGTGGGACGCGCTCAGTGATTTGGTGCGCGGTGTTCGGGGGCCGTGGGGGAGGCCCCAATGCAGGCCACCCAGGCGCGGAAGCCAATGCTGGCGGGGGCCCCGTGGTCCCGCACTGAAGATCACTCCGGCGAAGGGTCACTCTTATCTGTGGCGAGCGACGGGGCGAAGTGAGAAGGGGCGGGCCTTCCCAGAAGGCTCGAAAAGTCCCCTGGCCTTCTGAGATGTCTTCTAAGCCTTCCCCGAAGACACAGAAAACCTCTCAGAAGGCCAGAGGGTTTTTGAGAAGCCCCGCCGCCTTCTGAGAAGGCCTTCTCATTCTCACTTCCCCCCCTCGCTCGCCGCTCGAATTTGGCTTTTGGGTCATAACTCGGGTCTCTGGCGGGCGTTCGGGACGATCTGGGCCCCCCCGGAGGCCCTCGGTGAGGCGCATCTGCTGGCAAGCATCCCGAGGCTGGAAGACCGCCGAGAACCGACGAACACGTCCAAAAGCCTCGCTCGCCGACGCTCTTACGCGTAGCCGAATCTTCCCCCCGTCCCGCCTTCCTCCTCCTCCTCCTCCTCCTCCTCCTCCTCTTCCTCCTCCTCCTCCTCCTCCTCCTCCTCCTCCTCCTCCTCGGGCGCGGCCAAGAGGGGGGGCGCAAACAAATCATGGCCGGCAGCACGTGCGCGGCCCAGGGGGGGCCAGGGCCGTGCAGTCTGAGGAAATATCATGACCCACGCCATGATATCCTCCCCCCCCTAGTCATCCCCCCCCTCTTGGCCGCCCTCCTCCTCCTCCTCCTCCTCCTCCTTCCCCTCCAGCCCGGCCGCCGCCCGGCGGCGCGCTCGGCCTGCGTGGCGCGGCTGGCCGTCGGTGATCTCCTGGGCCCGGCGGCGGCGAGCGCCCGCCGGCCTGCCTGCCTGCCCGCCCGCCGCTCCTGCTGCGGGCCGCCGAGAGCACCGCCAGGGGCTGCGAAGGGGGGTCGGGGAGCCTCCGCGCCCTGCCCACGAGCGCTGCTCCACCCCGGCGGGTGTGGGCGGGGGGCGCGCTGTGCATTGCAGATTTGGTGCTCGCGCCGTCAGCGCTCTGCTCTCCTAGGGCTTTGCGGCGTCGTCCGCGCCTTGCCTCTGCATGTCCGAGCTCCGTAGCTGCCTGCACGCCCTCCTGTGCTCAGCTGCGCTCTTGCTCTTATGGACACTGCGCGGGCCTGACGAAAGCTTGAGAGGTCCCTTCCAATGTGGGGTTCGAAGTGGAAGCTGACGTGGCGGATTTCGGAAACCCTGAACCCAAAAACGTTTTCATCTCCTGGGGGCGCATCGTTTACTTCCGCCAACTTCCGCCGCCCTTCCGCCGGCTTCCGCCGGCGGAGGCAGCCTCGTTTTACTTCCGCCGACCTTCCGCCGCGGAATAGATGACAACTCATTCGATCCTCGAAGGCAAGGCCCTTTTTGAAACGACCCATGTGGGTTATGTCTGGCCTAACCTACCTGATAAGAGGGTCACCTGCGTGCCCAAGCTTCAGGGCAATACGATAACTCCGCTGCTGAGTGAGCTCCGCCCGCTTCGACCAAATCCGCACCCCCCTATAACCCATCTTAACATCCGCTTCTATACCCCGATCCACTTCGCACCCCCAGCGGTGATCTCAGCAGACACCAACCCAACGAGAAATTCATCCGTACGCTCAGCGAGTGAAGATTTAGGCAACGCCGCTTACCCCGCCGCTGCTGTCGCTGCTGCCTCCTGCTGCTGCTGCTGCCCTAATCAAATCCAGGTGGCACACAGCGTCGCGACGGCCAGTCTTTAGACGCTCCTGGCCCCAGGACAGCCAAAGGACGACCCAAAACGAGAAAAGACGGCCCTGGGGACAGGGTCGAGATCCCTCGGAGCTCGTGCTATGAACAAGCTGTGGCGGCGGAGGAGAGGGTCCTGCTTGCTTCTGGCACCGCGGAGGCAAACGGGGGCCCCGAGGGCAACGACACTGGAAGCTGTCGTCGTTTCCGTGCTCGGGGGGGCCCTCGGGGGGGCCACGGGACGGCCAGAAACGGCTCGGGATGAGAAGCTGGTCCAGGGGAGAGCCCCTGAGGCCCAGGGCCCATTTTCGGCCAGGACGCGTTTCCCTTCGTTCCAATTCTGCTTGTCTTGCTCCTCCCTTGCTGCTGCCGCTGTTCCTTGCTTCTCCTCCCCCCTCGCTCCTCTCTCGCCCTGCTGCTCCCCTCGTCTGTCGCACTCAATTCGTGCGGCACTCGCCCAGTCATTGCCGAGGTTCGGCACCTTCGTGGATGGCCAACCCGATCCCATCCTCCTGCTCCCCTCTCCTCCCTCTTCTCCTCCCCCGTCGTTGTCCTCCTCCTCCTCCTCCTCCTTCCCCCTCCCCCCACTCCCCTGCGCTTCCTCCCCCCACTCCCCTGCGCTTCCTCCTCCTCCTTCCCCTGCGCTTCCTCCTCCTCCTCCTCCTCCTCCTTCTCCTTCTCCCCCCCCTCCTCCTCCTGCTCCTCCTCCTGTTCCTCCTCCTCCTCCTCCTCCCCCCCCTCCTCCTCCTCCTCCTCCTCCTCGCCCCTTTCCTTCCCCTCCTCCCTCCGCTTTCACAGCAGACGCTGTTCACTGCTCTCTCACCACGAAGGGCACCATATTCTGTGGACAATGTAAGACAGTCGATGCTTATTTGGCTGTGCTGTTTTGGCTGCGGCGAAGAAACATACTCCCTCCCCCCTCTATTTGCCCCTCGTAGTTGCTGTCCCCCTCTTTCCCCGTCCCCCTCCACCCCCTTCCCCTCCTTCTCCTTCTTCTTCGTCTCCTTCTTCTCATTCTTTATCTCCTCCTCCTCCTCCTCCTCCTCCTCCCACTCCCTCCCCCGACTGTCGCACCCATACGGCGTGGCACTCGCCCCACAGCTGCGAGCCCGCCTCGGCCGCCTCGGCACCCTCGAGGACGGCCGCTCCACACCGAATAGTGGCGCGCGCAGGCGCGGAGGCCAGGCCGCCCCTTCTCAAGATTTGCGGAGGGTGCGTCTCGCATCGGATACGACTGTTGGCGGCGCGCACCGGGGGGCCAGGGGGGAGGGGCAGGGGGGAGGGCTGTTTAGAGGGAGGCCGCTTCTCAGAAGGCGCCGGGCCCAACTCTACAGATGGTGCCCGTGCCTTCTGAGAAGCAGGGGTGCTTCTAAGAAGCCCTCTCCCCTCCCCCTCCCCCTCCTTCTGCGCGTGGCTGAGTATGAAGATCAGAGAAACACACAACGACATAAACACACACAGACACACACAGACACACACAGACACAAACAGACAGACACAGACACAGCCACACACAGACACATATACAGACAGACACAGACACACACAGACACAAACAGACACACACACAGACACACAGTGACACAAACACAGAGACACACACAGACACAAACAGACACACACATAGCCACTCGCAAACAAACACAGACACACACAGACACACAGAGACACACGGAGACACACACAGGCACAAGCAGAGACACACAGAGACACACAGAGACACATAGAGACACACAGAGACACACAGAGACAAACACAGCGACACACGGAGACACACACAGACACATCGAGACACACACAGGCACACAGAGACACACAGAGACACACAGAGACACAGAGACACACGGAATCACACACAGTCACAAACCGAGACACACAGAGACACACAGAGACACACAGAGACACACCGAGACACACAGAGACACACAGAGACACACGGTGACACGCAAAGACACACAAAGACACACATAATCACACAAAGACACACACAGAGACACACAAAGACACACAGAGACACACGGAAACACACAGAGACACACAGAGACACACAGAGGCACACAGAGACACACCGAGACACACAGAGACACACAGAGACACACAGAGACACACAGAGACACGTAGTGACACGCAGAGACACACAGAGACACACAGAGGCACACAGAGGCACACAGGGACACACAGCGACACACAGAGACACACAGAGACACACAGAGACACACAAAGGCACACAGAGACACACAGAGACACACAGAGACACACAGAGACACACGGAGACACACAGAGACACGCAGAGACACACAGAGACACACAGAGACCCACACACATATACACACGGAGCCACATCGAGACACACACACAGACACACACAGAGACACACAAAGACACACAGAGACACACAAACAGACACACAGAGACACACAGAGACACACACAGAGACACACAAAGACACACAGCGACACACAGAGACACACAGCGACACACACACAGAGACACACAGAGCCACACAGAGCCACACAGAGACACACAGAGACACACACAGAGACGCACACAGAGACACACAGAGACACACAGCGACACACAGAGACACAGAAACACACGGAGACACACAGAGACACGCACACAGACACACAGCGGCACACAGAGACAGACAGAGACACACACACACAGAGACACACACAGAGACACACACACACAGGCACACAGTGACACACAGAGACACACACAGAGACACACAGACACACAGACACACAGAGACACACAGAGACACACAGAGACACACAGAGACACACAGAGACACACAGAGGCGCACAGAGACACACAGAGACACACACAGTCACAAACAGAGACACACAGAGACACACCGAGACACACAGAGACACACACACACAGAGACACACAGAGACACACAGAGACACACAGAGACACACCGAAACACACACAGTCACACACAGAGACACACAGAGACACACAAACAGACACACGGAGACACACAGAGGCACACAGAGACACACCGAGACACACAGAGACACACAGAGACACACAGAGACACAGAGACACACACAGACACACAAAGACACACAGAGAGGCACACATAGGCACACAGCGACACACAGCGACACACAGAGACACACAGAGACACACAGAGACACACAGAGACACACATAGGCAGACACAGAGACACACACAGAGACACACACAGAGACACACAGAGACACACAGAGACACACTGACACACACAGAGACACACAGCGACACACAGACACACACAGAGACACAAAGAGAAAGGCAGCGACACACAGACGCACACAGAGGCTCACAGGGACACACAGTGACACGCAGAGACACACAGGGACACACAGAGGCACACAGAGACACACAGAGACACACAGAGGCACACAGAGACACACAGAGACACACAGCGACACACAGAGACACACAGAGACACACAGAGAAAGACAGAGACACACACAGAGACACACACAGAGACACACAGAGACACACAGAGACACAACGAGACACACAGAGATACACAAAGGCACACAGAGACACAAAGAGACGCACCGAGATACACAGAGACACACAGAGACACACAGAGACACACAGCGACACACAGAGACACACAGAGGCACACAGAGACACACAGCGCCACACAGGCACACACACAGACACACACAGACACACACACAGAGACACACGGAGAGACACACAGAGGCACACAGAGACACAAAGACACACAGAGACACACGGAGACACACGGAGACACACAGAGACACACACAGAGACACACAGTGACACACAGAGACACACACAGAGACACACAGAGACACACAGAGACACACACAAACACACAGAGACACACAGAGACACACAGAGACACACGGAGACACACAGCGACACACAGAGACACACAGCGACACACAGAGACACACAGAGACACACAGAGATACACATATACACACAGAGACACACAGCGACACACAGAGACACACATAGGCACACGCGGACACACAGAGACACACGGAGACACACAGCGACACACAGAGACACACAGCGACACACAGAGACACACAGAGACACACAGAGATACA